GGGTCAGCAACCCGCGGCTCCGGAGCCGCATGTGGCTCTTTTACACCTTTGCCGTGGCTCGGGGCGGATACTAGCGAGGGGAGGAGGCGCATTGTGTGCCCCGACACTCCCCACTGTTTTAAATGTCGCAATGGTTTTGCGGCTCCCAGGTTTTTTTTCTTCGGTCCAAGTGGCTCTTTTTGTCTTAAAGGTTGCAGACCCCTGCTTTAGATATTTGGCACGGGTTCTGTTGGGTGTTGTGATACCTAAGACCTCCGGAGAACAAGATCTCGGAGTATGAGGTAAAAAGTGCTGTCTTTCATATAGATTTAGATATATAATTTTATTAGTTTTTAACATATCATTTTCAAGTAATTAAACATACTTTTACATCTTATACAATTTTTTTGGACTTCCATCAATCATGTCTGAAAATTTTCCAATCTATTCACTTAATATACATTTCTTACTTTCACTATTACCTTTAAATCTCATAACTAATATCTCTCTTCTTTCTCTATTTTGCAATATTTCATATATTTCTCCTTCCAAAACTTCTTGTAGTCCTACTAACGTAATTTGTTGATTACAGTTGCTCTTCAAATAGTTCATATATTTCTTCCAATCTTTTGTAAATCTCTGGTCCCGCCGGTTTCAAATCCTTCCTGTCATTTTATCTAATTCTGCATAGTCCATTAACTTTGGCTGCCATTCTTCTTTCGTCGGAATTTCTTCTTGCTTCCATTTCTGGGCTAACAATACTCTTGCCGCTGTTGTTGCATATAGAAACAATTTAACATCTTGTCTATTAATATCCTCACCTATAATACCAAGTAAAAATGCTTCTGGTTTTTTTCAAGAATGTGTATTTCAACATCTTTTTCATCTCATAACAAGCGCTGTCTTTCATGGTCATAGAGCTGCTGCTTGATTATTTGGAATATGTAACTTTTGTCACACGCTTCAGGGCTCTCGAGAGCAATGCCCAAACTGTGAATTTTATCTTGAACTGCTCTTAGTATAGAATCATAGAATTGTAGAAATGGAAGGGGCCATTTGCCCAATGTGGGACTTGAACCCACAACCTTGAGATTAAGAGTCTCCTGCTCTAGCGTCACGTCACTGCCAGTCAGTGTAGAAAATAATGAGCCAGATGGAACAATGGCCTGAACCCCTTTGGAGTCTTTATGAGCCAGAAAAAAACCTCACAATTGGCGTGTTAGATCAGGGCCATTCCAGTATCCTGGACAGGAGTCCAACAGCACTCTGCTCATCTGCAGTTCCCAGCAACTGGGATTCAAAACTAAATTGCCTCTGACTATATAGATAGAACATGGGACGCGGGTGGTGCTGTGGGTTAAACCACAGAGCCTAGGACTTGCCGATCAGAAGGTCGGCGGTTCGAATCCCGGCCATGGGGTGAGCTCCTGTTGCTCGGTCCCTGCTCCTGCCCACCTAGCAGTTCAAAAGCACGTCAAAGTGCAAGTAGATAAATAGGTACCGCTCCGGCAGGAAGGTAAACGGCATTTCCGTGCGCTGCTCTGGTTCGCCAGAAACAGCTTAGTCATGCTGGCCACATGACCCGGAAGCTGTACGCCGGCTCCTTTGGCCAATAAAGCAAGATGAGCACCGCAACCCCAGAGTCGGCCACGACTGGACCTAATGGTCAGGGATCCCTTTACCTTTTTATATAGATAGAACACAGCCATTGTGGAGAGGGAGACAACTCAGGTGAAGAGAACGAAACAGTGGCAAAGAAGTGTACAGTGGTACCTCGGGTTAAGTACTTAATTCGTTCCGGAGGTCCATACTTAACCTGAAACTGTTCTTAACCTGAAGCACCACTTTGGCTAATGGGGCCTCTTGCTGCTGCTGCGCCGCCGGAGCACGATTTCTGTTCTCATCCTGAAGCCAAAGTTCTTAACCTGAAGCACTATTTTCTGGGTCAGCGGAGTCTGTAACCTGAAGCGTATGTAACCTGAAGCGTATGTAACCCGAGGTACCACTGTCATCCTTTCCTGAGGAAAGTTTTAGAGACATGGCAACAGCAGGGACGGGTGGTGAAACATGTAGAGTGACTCGTCTTCCTGACTCTGACAGATAGTCCTTTGGACTTATTATTACGTAGGGAGAGTTACTTTACCCAGATGACTCTGTAGACCTGTTCGCTGCATCCACCTTAGTTGCTATTCATGGATACAGGTAGAGATGGGAAGGTCCCCGGAAAAGTTGGGGGAGGGTGACAGGTTTTTTCCATTTTCCCCCCAGAAAAATTAGGGGGGGTGGGATAACCAAACTATATCAAACTGGTTTGGTTGTTGGGTTGATTTTTTTACCCCCATTTTTTCTGGAAAAAATGACTGGAAAAAAATTGAAAAAAGGGAGACAGAAAAACAGAAGACCCTGGTCCCCCCCAGATTTTCCAATTTTTCCCCCAGGCCTTCCCTTCTGTAGATATGGGTGATGTTCCCCACCTGTGGGTGCTGAAGGAGACCCTTCAAAACAGCCAATCCATGTCTGCAAAGCGGTGCGTCCAAAAAGGGGGTGTTGGCTTCCACTGCTATCCTAGGACAAACAGCAGCCTTAGATGAAGGAAATCATAACTTCCTCTGGCACTTAATCTTTTTAAAGACTAGTGGATTTAGACATACCATTAACACTTCCCTGGTGCATAAAGTCTTATAGCAGAGACCAAGGTCAAGCGCTTTGGTTTCTGCTGAGCTAATCTTATTATCACTCTTGTGGCACATCTAAGCTGCGCGAAGAGCATCAAGACCCTCTTTGCCTGTGGCTCACGTGCTTCACCACAAGACCAAGCTTTGTAGCGCTGTCAGAGCAAAGAGAACACGAGGCTATCTTCATCACTTCGCTCCTCCAGACTTGAGGAGGATCATCTAGGAGCGAAGAAGATCTGCCGAGGCTGTGACTGATCAGGATGTCTGAGACCTCGTGCAGTGGGATGTGTGTGGAGGCAGAGCTGCAGCTATGAGGGGTTGCCTGGGTGAAACCTCCAGAGGGCGCAGTGAGGCTCCCAGCTTGTGCTGTGTGTGTGTACGAAAATGCACGTGGGTGGGTGCCAAACTGGGCCTTTGACCTGGGTGAAATAAGGCTTAGTTTCAGCCCCGGTGAAGGAGAAGGATGTAGTCATGCCATTGGTGGCCCTGTCACCTCATCATTACTGTCACACACACACACACACACACACACACACACACACACCAGGGCGGCAGACATTTGTTAGCAGGAGCCTGCTCCACACATAATAATAATAATAATTGTCAGAGGCTTAGTGCTGTCCAGCTGGCCATAGATAAGACTCTGGACTCCCAGCCAGTCCCAAACAATTGATTTATTTGACAAAAGTTCAAGCGTACATCTCCAGCATTTCCATTAACCTCCTTCCCCTTGTGCGCAGTTGCTCCCTCTAATGTTACTTCCTCCCTTTTCCGCACCCAGCATGCAAGTCTCGCGAAAACTCCTCCCCTTACTTCCTCTGTGTACAGCATGACTGTCCCAGGCTCATCCTCCTCCCCCTACGTCAGACTGACTGTCGTCCGACAAGCTGCTGAGAATCTCTTTGGGCTCTCTATAACGGGGGGTGGCTGTTCTTTCATCTTTTCCCGTTTGCCTCTCTGCCAATAATAATAATAATAATAATAATAATAATAATAATAAATATATTTTTATTTATATCCCACCCTCCCCAGCCGAGGCCAGGCACAGAGCGGCTGACAGCAGTAAAAGTAGCGCAGTTTACATAAAATCAAAATCAATTACAGTGGTACCTCGGGTTACATACGCTTCAGGTTACAGACTCCGCTACCCCAGAAATAATACCTTGGGTTAAGAACTTTGCTTCAGGATGAGGACAGAAATTGCGTGGCGGCAGCGGGAGGCCCTATTAGCTAAGTGGTATCTCAGGTTAAGAACAGTTTCAGGTTAAGAACGGACCTCCTGAACGAATTAAGTACTTAACCCGAGGTACCACTGTAATTAAAATGTATTCTAAAATCAATTCAGACACAGAGAGAGAGGGGGGGGTGGAGGGAGGGAGAGGGAGAGAGGTGGTGGTATTAGGTGCTGACAAGTTGTTAGGAGGGCCCCTCACCAGTGGCAGAGGAAGGGGGTGCTGTGGGGGTGGGCTACCCTGGGTGTCATCCCTGGGGGGGTGACATTCGGTGCACCACCCGACCGCGACTCCGGCAAAGCGGCAAAGCGGCGCAGCAGCTCCCCTCTTCCCCCGATGGCTCACGGTAGGCTTGGGAGTCGCGGGTGGGCATGGCACCATTGCCTCGTGCTGCTGGCTGGAGGAGGCAGGTGGGCAAACAGGGGAGAGGACGGGAAGGAGGCAGGTGAGCAGAGGGGGGTGGGAAGGGGAGAGGAAGGAAGCGGGATCGGCGGGTGCGCTTTTCATTTTGCCTGGAAGACAAGCGCCTACAGCTCTGCCCCTAGATTCACCTGAGTGGCTATCCCTCCGCACCCCTCCGCCACTGCCCCTCACAGAGTTATAATTCTCAGAGATCCCTGGGAAGAGAGATGGGCTGTTAAAACACTCTGGAATTATTATCTTTTTAAAAAAAGCAAGCTCAACAAGTTTTGGTTTTTTTTTAATAAATAATTTTTATTAAAGTTTTCAACAACAAAAAAAGAAAAGAAAAACATACACAATACATATCTCAAAAAAAAATAATAAAGAAAATTAAAAAAAGATAACAAAAACACACAAAAAAAACACAATTCATCAATAAAAAAAACAAAAAACATAACAATTAAAAACAATATCTCTTTTCCATTTCCGTTTTTCTTAGTTTACTTATTTTCTGGACTTCCTCATACCTCCTTCTTTTGTATTCCAATCCAAATTGTTTGTCCAGCAATTTCTTTTCAACTTTTTTAATCCCAATCTTTAACTTTAATATAATATTGTAATATATAACTTCAACTTCTTTAAACCTAATCTTTAATCTTAGTATAATATAACATTAAAATTTTCCCTCTTAATTGTCAAATTTCCATTTCTTTAAACATCTTTAATCCTAATCTTAATCTTAGTCTATCATTAACTTTAACCTGTACAGCTGGAAACCGCTTATTTTCAGTCCAACATCACTCTAACATTCTTTAATTTTGCAATGTTTCTGAAGATAGTCTTTGAATTTCTTCCAATCTTCCTCCACCGACTCTTCTCCCTGGTCACGGATTTTACCAGTCACTTCCGCCAGTTCCATATAGTCCATAAGTTTCATCTGCCATTCCTCCAGCGTGGGAAGTTCTTGTGTCTTCCAATACTTTGCGATGAGTATTCTTGCTGCTGTTGTTGCATACATAAAGAAAGTTCTATCCTTTTTTAACACCATTTGGCCGACTATGCCCAGGAGAAAGGCCTCTGGTTTCTTAGGGAAGGTATACTTAAATACCATTTTTAATTCATTATATATCATTTCCCAGAAAGCCTTAATCTTTGGGCACGTCCACCAAAGGTGAAAAATGTACCTTCAGTTTCTTTACATTTCCAACATTTGTTATCGGGCAAGTGATAAATTTTTGCAAGCTTGACTGGGGTTATGTACCACCTGTATATCATTTTCATAATATTCTCTCTTAAGGCATTACATGCCGTAAATTTCATACCTGTGGTCCACAACTGTTCCCAGTCAGCAAACATAATGTTATGTCCAATGTCCTGTGCCCATTTAATCATAGCCGATTTTACCGTCTCATCCTGGGTATTCCATTTCAGCAGCAAGTTATACATTCTTGACAAATTCTTAGTTTTGGGTTCTAACAGTTCTGTTTCTAATTTAGATCTTTCCACCTGGAAGCCAATTTTCTTGTCCAATTTAAATGCCTCCATTATCTGATAATAGTGAAGCCAGTCTCGCACTTTGTTTTTTAATTTTTCAAAGCTCTGCAATTTCAGTCTATCTCCGTCTTGTTCTAAAATTTCCCAATATTTCAGCCATTTGACCTCCATATTGGCCTTTCTCAAGGCTTTCGCTTCCATTGGTGACAGCCACCTTGGGGTTTGCAAGCTCAACAAGTTTGGGCACAACTAAAAAACGCTCAACCACTCCCCCCCCCACCGCCACCCCATGGCAACCCTACCTAGTAACTCTACATTTCCCAGGATTCTTTCGGGGAAGCCCCAACTCTTTAAAGTGGTATGA